GATAATCCCATGTTGAATATGCTTTGTTACGCGCGATTATCCACTAGGCTCATTCCCACAGCCGTTGATTTTTTTTGCACTTGACCCGATGTCAAAGGTCATGAAAGCACCGAATGATAAAAGAACCGTACGTAATGGTGAAAGGGCCGAAAGGCAAAAGCACCAAATGATAAAAGATCCGTAAGTGTGGCAAAAGCACCGAACGTAATGTTAAAAGCACCGAACGTAATGTTTAAAGCACCGAACGTAATGTAAAAGCACCGAACGTAATGTTAAAAGCACCGAACGTAATGTTCAAAGCACCGAACGTCATGTAAAAAGCACCGAACGTAATGTTCAAAGCACTGAACGTAATGTCTGTCTCTTATACACATCTAGATGTAAAAAGCACCGAACGTAATGTAAAAGCACCGAACGTAATGTTAAAAGGGCCGAATAACAAATGCCCCGAACGGAAAAGAGCCACCAAAGGCAGTAACCGCGTTCCATATATTATTACCGCGAAGTGGGGCGGCGGTACATGCCTTGTAATTTACTACGTACCATTTTTCGATCGCCATGCGAAGTTAAAATAAAATCCCAAATCCTCCTCCTTTTTGGAATTTAAGGAAATTAATACATTTTTGTTTCTTTGTTGGATCGATTGCAGCAACCCAAACCCAACATAACGGTATTTCACATTATATAGCATTAATCATCTATAATAACTGCTAACTTCCTACCCTATCGCGTTGTTTTGTTTTGGTGACAACATGGCCGGTGTAAGTCACGTGATTGAAACCGAGTTGGCCAAACTCTCTCTATCTATGGCTCTGTTTTTTTCCAGAGCCGTAGACAGAGCATAGAGCTATTAAACAATAGAGAGAGTTTGGCCAACTTCGCGCATGGACGCCATGTCGTTACCAAACAGCTCAGGCGCATGCGCGCGTATACCTTTAATGTTATGTTTTTGTGACAACATGGCTGGTGTAAGTCATGTGATCGCGATCCACCCAATCACACGCGCGTATATAGAATCCCGTGAAACAGAGTTGGCCATTAACTCTCTCTATCTACGGCTCTGTTTTTTTTTTTTTAGTATAGATGTTTCCACCCAAGATCTGTAATGGCTCTCTTTGTTTTTTTCCAATTCCCGCTTTTCAGAGGCGTAGAATAGTGATATTTCATTGTCCATTCATTCATTCAAAAATTAAGTATGCCAGCATTGTATTACTTTTAATGAAATGAAATGAAAGACATAGAACAAAAAAAAAAAAAAAAAGAAACAGATGTAAACTGATTACAGATAGGCCTATCTCGAAAAAAAAAAAGAAACAGATGTAAACTGATTACAGATAGGCCTATCTCGTCAAAAACACGAATTTTTTTCAGTTTATTTATTTTTAAAGTTTTTTGAGTTTTTTTTTTTGGAAGATGTGGTCCGTTTCTCTCCACAAACCCCCGTAGTATACGCTACCGACGATGAAAAATGCATACTGTTGTAACCTTTTTGGCGGACGTAAAATACAATAAAGGTTGTACTAGTGGAGTACCAAACGGTAATCAGACTGACGGTATGAGAAGGTTGGGTTAAAATCGTAATACGTGTTTCTCAAAAGTATTGTCATAAATCATCGCAATATATGTCTTATTTTCAGGGGAAAAATAAATAAACCTGCCCTAGGCCTAATGGAAAATCTAAGATAATTATGCTTTCGTAGATTTGATAGAGGATATTGGTGGTGGGTTCAAATCCGGATGGGACCGGGGAAATACGTTTTTCTATTTAAAAAAAAAACAAAAACAAAACAAAACAATAACAAAACAATCTCAATACAGATACGTAGGCAGAGAACGTTTGATTCATAATGTTTTTCTTTTATAACTCATTTCACTTCCACGTTCATGGCGTTTAATAAAAAAAAGAACTTACAGTTCGAGATTTATTCTAGATTACTTAAATTACACTCTACAGGGTTGGCGGAACGTTCTTCAAAGTGGGCATGCCGGGCACTAGCATAAAGGAGGATCATACAAAAATTTTGAAATTGTGTTGTTGATATCCTAACTGTCAAAAAAAAAAAAGTGCAATAACATTAATTTCAGTTAACCACATCAGACGAGAGAATTGATTCCCACAAAAACAAATTCTGCGTAGAGCAATATTTTTTTTTTATAATGATGCTTCATGAACGGATCAACGATGCCGTATGAGAACACCGACAGAAGGTTGTCATACAGTCATATGAGAATTGGCTCGTTGCGAGTGGTTTCTGGTATCTGCATCTGGTCGAGACTGACACATCTGGAAGAGTTTGGTTGCCATTCTTGTTACAGTTTTGGCTCATATACAATGGATGGTCAGGGATGGTTGATGTGAAAGTTTTCTACTGAGCCTTATTGCATTCACCGGTGACCACTTTGCCGAGTGGAAGTTCTGTTAATGAATGCATGCGATTCAGCTTATAGGCCTAATGGCGGCATAATGTGTCATTTAAGGTTCGATTTTGATTTCTCCACAGCTATAACGGAGTAGGTTCATTCAAGTGGAGATTAGGCCGGCCTAGTTATTCAGTATCAACTAGAAACAACAAAAGATTCTCTTTAAACTTTGAAGTCGACAAAGTTTTGATTTTTTCGGCGTCGTCCTGATGTCTTCGTCATCATTGTCTTCTGCAACAGTTTGGATCTCGCTTGCGAAGTCCCGCAGTTTTCTACAGTGTCTGGACCGCCTTTGACTTCGCTTCTTCTGTGCCCCGAAAAAATAATCCAGTCGAAACAAAGAAATGAACTTTCTTTTTGGAGGATTCACCAGAATACCGGTTTCAATTACTTCCAATTGTGGAATGGAATCTGCTGTAGCAACAGAGCCATTATATAGTCCACGTGGTAACTCTGACAAATCTGAAAAAACAAACAAGTTTCAATTTTAAGGAAAAATTGGCCAAGTTATGCCAGGTCGACGTCTATTTCAAACTCTGTACTGTATAATAAAAACCTGACAGGATGATAATGCAATGATGTCTTGTTTATGTAAAGTACTTTGTCAAAAGATATTGATGAAGAAAGTCAAAAACCCATTTAATTTGTAAAGGATCAGCCAATTATACCTAAGTGATCAGTTTCGGTGACAAATAAAATGCTAAGGATAGACTTTCTATGTTGATGAACGACGTCTAACATGTGTGCTTTGATATTTTTTTTGAATATTATTATAAACGTAAGGAAGATAATTAATTAACAAATTATAAGTTAATAAATGTACAGTAGCTATTACGGCAACATTGATAAAAATGTTGATTTTTATAGAAAATGCTATAAGCTCTACTCACCGATTTGTGGAAGGCTTTCGCATGAGTAGAATTCAGATTTTATACTAAGAGACGTTGTAGATTGTGAAGACTTTGCTGATATGAATTTCTCTTCTAAAGCTTCGTCTTCTTCATCATCCGAATCTTGGCTTTCTCCCTTCAACTCATTTCCATTCGTACCGTGCACGTCGATTATAGCTGTCGCTTTTCCATCAGGCGAATCCAGTACGTCTCTATCATATCCGGCTGATAGTCCCACTTTTTTAGCTTTTTCGGAGAATGATCGATGGATGTCAAATACAGACTCATTTGAAAAATCTCGCTGGGTCATCCAGACACACTTGGTGCACATCTCACTGCAGGCTTGATGTCGAACCACTCGGGTTGATCTCATTCGGCAACGACCTTCTGCTTGGTCAATTTTCGGACAATTTCTATAATACCAAAATGGTCGTGGGTCCTCGTCGACATATTGAGCAAGAGAGTCCGAAATTGGAACTTTGACAACAGGGGCTTCCCAGTTCGGAGCTTGATCTGTGATAAATAAAATCCGTTCATGATTTTTATTGTCAAATTAAATTATTTTTATGGTAGTTAAAGTGTGTTTATCCGTTTAATCTCAGTCAGGAAGGCCTAGACAGAGTAAAGAGAGAATTTACGAGATTGTGAGCTCTTTTTGAACTTTTATGGCCGGACTGATAGACATGTCTAATACTCTAACCAAAATATATTCATCATTAAAAAAATAATAATAATTTTGCGGTTAATTCAAATAAAAAAAATTAAATTATGAAAAAAAAAATTAAAATAACGTAAGAATATGTATGTGTATGTAAGAAGGGCATAATAAGCATGCCATGCTTTTAATGGTCCAATAATCGGTTTAAAATGCAAATAAGTTTACTTGTACGTAAATAAATTAATGTAAAAATAAATACATGTTACTAAAATTAAGCTCACTATTAAACAAGTAGTTTCGGCACTAAGCTATACAGATTACAATTTTTTATGAATATATTATCGAAACTTTCAGAGCTAGGCGCTAGGAGAGTAACGAACGCCACTATTGTGATTTAGTAATCGAAATCCAAATGATCCATTATATAAAAATTAGAGGCTCAAACCTAAAAATATAAGAACATACTATACCTCGCTCATTCATGATTGAATCAATATAAAATATCTTCAGATAAAAATAAGTTAATTCGTGAACAAATATAGTATTCTAAGAGATAAAATTAATACAGTAGTTATGTTTGCAAAGTTTACAATGGTTTATGTTTAGTATCACTAGAATCTCCTAGACAACGGAAACGCCTCGGGATCTTATACGCGCATAATTTTTTGACGCAGATATTTGATTGGCTTATAAGTTTAGCGCTGAACCGCAACTTGGCAACGTATCAACAAAAAGCACGCTATCTTTAGGATGGTACGGTAGAATCTGAACAGAAAATAATACTACAGTAGTTAAGTTCGGTAGATTGTTATTGTAGGCAAATTAGGTACAAAACCTCGAGTACATTGCTCTGAGTTTTTTTTTTTTTTTTTTTGGAAACTTTAGATTGGCTTCTTTTCGAGATGGGCTTCTTTTCGAGGCTACATTTGCAAACTAATGAGGGAGGCTTGTTTTCAAAATAAATGCTGTAAATTTTGCAATTACTGTACTACTAAAAACAACAATAAATTAATATGGCCGCTGTAAGGCCAATCTGTATCACGGAGTGAGTTAACTGGGAGATGGGCTTAATTTCGAGGCTACTTTTGCAAACTAAAGAGGGGGGGGGGGCTACAATTCTAGATGGGCTTCCTCTCGTGATTACGCCCATTGGGCTTCAATTCGAGGTTTTATTACGGTTGTTCATTCCTGAATAATCCGGCTGTGCTTCTAGTTGGTCACTCCTGGCCCTAGAAAAGTCTCAACCAATCGTATACAGTATTAACTTTATTCGGATTCCATTTAATATACAAACTTTAATACATAAAACGTTTGTAAAATCTATAAATTTGTCAGTATCTTGTCTTCAGATCAAAGGATTGCCTTTTATCATAAAGGGGTTAAAAACAGGTAAACTCGTTGAGAATAATACTTAATCAAAAGGTCGAATTCCTTCATAATTGACTCTGAATTCCGTTTTTATTTTGATTGATTTAAAGTTTCTTATAAATCAAGTCAGTAATTTCAATCATGTGAAACGATATTTTAAAAAATATTTTTGTGAATATGAAAGATATATTATAGGTTAACTAATATAGTAAAATAAATCTGAATATTGAAGCACTTTGAACTGTTTCATGCTTTCTCAATAATTTTTTAAAAATTTGGCGTCATTCAACAGAAGTCACATGACCAGTAAGGTAGCGTACTTTAAATCCCTGAAGATGTTAAGACAGTGAAAGCATGAGACTAAATATAAATGTACCTTTTAGGTAGTCAAACGTTTTTGTTTTTTTTTACACTATCCATTTAAAATTTTGAATTAAGTCAATCATAATAGTGCATCTTTTTTGCTTTTACATGAGGATTAGACTCATTGAATCACTGAAGGAGTGAATGAATTTATTCATTTGAATTAAGTCAATAATAATAGTGCATCTTTTTTGCTTTTACATGAGGATTATTGAATTTATTCATTCACTCCTTCATTCCATTCCTTTATATATTTGGCAAAACTGTACTTTAACATAAACAAAAATAATGTTGTTCAAAGTAAGCAGAATTGCCAAACTACAAAACAAACACTTGTAGTTGGCCCATACACAGTGGAAGCGCCAGCCGCGCTAGTCAGAGAGCAATTGGACAAGACTAGGTCGTTTGACTGAAAATATCAATTTGCAGAGAGCAGCTTAATCCGGTTCCATGTGCATTTATGGCCCATGTGCACTTTAAAGAATGCAGTATACTCTTCGGAAAAGAGTAGTGCATTGTCTCCCGGTGTACTACCCAATCACTACCAGAAGGACCCACTAGATATTAAGTCTTCCTCTAGACTTTCGTGCTCCATCCTTGGTGTTTACACCGAAAAAATCCAATCCAATCCAGAGTTATTGTAATTGCCAATCCTTAATATTGTGGACAATTTATGGCCATTCTAATCTCTCCTCATGAACCCCACCAGGGATTTTATTCTGGGACCGACCATCAACGGGGGCTATAGACCGCCCCTTGTTTTGGACCACTGTTTGACTTGTTGGATCCCCTACGGGCAAATTTCTGGAGCCGGAGCCATCACTGCTTATGCATTTTAACACAGCTCAGATCATCGACCTCATGACACGCGAAAGAAAGACAAAACACAGGACCAGTTATATCAATGGTTCATCTTCATTTTATTTACATGTTATCGTTGTCTACAAGGCGATAGGATGGAATGTCAACTACCATGGCTAGACTCATAAAAAATCAAACATGTTTCATGCATGTGTCCTCCTTCGGCGGAATAATCATCAAATTATTGTAAAATGTGAACTGTAAATTATCATTACAGTTAAACTTGCCTAAGTCGAATAATATCTTATAAAGTCAATCAGTAAAGATAAAGTCAATCTTATTTTATATGCCAAATTGTTGTGTTTTCTAATTTTATCTAAAGTCAAACAATTTTTCAATGCAATGTTGGATTCGACTTAGGCAAGTTCAACTTACTCATAACATACGGTGTGACTGTCACACGTCTCAGACTGATATCTTCAGTTTCTTATACACAATTTTCTCCAGAGTTTTGGGAAGTTACAGTATAAAAGTCCAGTTGGTACAACCATAGACAATAATTATTTCATAATTTAACAATTTAAGCAATTCAAGCAAATGCCTACAACTTATGATGTACGGTATACCATACATTTGACATTGACACACCTGTATTTGCATCTAATTAACATATCCACGCTTCTTTGGCGACCAATACTCGTACTTATTTCTATGGTAATGTAAGATTATTTACAGCAATTGCTTGAAGTCTGTTGGAGCGTGCATATTAGAGCGTTATCTAATAATTATAATGGCACAAAGACGCATACTCTACATGTCTCCATACAATAACCAATTTTTACAAATCAAGAATAAGAATTTCCTAAATCCACTGGATTTCCACCGGGAATTTCAATGCAGTTTCCAACGTTTGAAATGTTTATAAATTATGTATAATATTTTTTCTCTTCTATCAACAATAATATTCCTGCTTCCGATTTTTAAATCATCATGTTTTTTATATGCATGGAACTGATCAATGTAATAGCCACTGTTTACAATGGTTACAGCCTTAATCTATGATTATAACCATGGTTAAACTGGTAATAAACTTAGTTATGATATCAACCATTACAATCATATGGTTATACCCATAGTTAAACTGGTAATAAAACTAGTTAAGATATTAACCATTACAATCATATGGTTATAACCATGGTTAAGCTGGTAATAACCCTAGTTATGATATTAACCATTACAATCATATGGTTATAACCATGGTCAAACTGGTAATAACCCTAGTTATATTAACCATTATTATCATATGGTTATAACCATGGTGATCATAGTTATGATACATATTTCTTTTTAATTTATGATCAATATAACCATATTTATCATAAAATATATTAATTAAAGCCGTACATAGATTGTATTCTATCTATAGTTCAGTGGTTCATTTTAGTAAAATAACTTCCCATATTATATGGAAATTCAATCTAAAAAATACAAATTACATACCAACAAAGGTTAATAGAGACATGCACCTGTGTGCATTATGGGATCGAAAGGTGGAGAAAATTATAAACACACACAATGTTAACTTTGTATGGTTCGAGTTTCGATCCCAAAGTGATACGTGCACTTTAAGATTTAGGGCACAGCTACTGACCGAATCGTAAAATGGCGAATTTTATTCAAATTCATCTTGTTTCAGAATCAAGATGTATCGACTTCCAGTTAAACAAGAATACTTTCTAAATATCTAAGTTATACCATTTAGAAGGCCTGTAAGAATAAAAACTGAATAAGTTACACAAATTAGGTCTAGTTATTTGCTAATTAAATATTTTCATCTCTGGAATTATAATTATTCGTAAACTAAATCAATATTTGCATTCAATGAAACCATTATGTTTGACTCTATAAATTAATTTTCAATAACCAAACTCTTTTTTCTAAATATTTGTACATGATATCCTGACTAAAAAACACCATTACCAATGCTACAACACTCCGGGCAATGCTACTAATAATTAAAATGTAGAAACAAAAATCATTATTTTAATTTATTACATCTTTAGAACGGGAGACAATCATTCCTTAACAAAAATACACTGGATTTTGAATCAACAAAATAAAAAGCTGAATTAACATTCACATGCTCATCATAAATAGAGGTAGAAAATGTTTCCATTTCCTTATTTGATGATAGTTGAGTTCTGCTTATAATGACATCTTCACTGCTCACAATGACATCGCAGCATAAAATTATGAGATAACAACCTTCATGTATCCTAACATCTATATCATCGCTGCTTATCATGACATCATAGCGTATGTCATCACAGCATTAAATTTCCTTAACATCTTATGATGTCATCAATGTTATGACATCATCACTGCTTATATCATGACATCATTACCTTTAATTCACTTCCATCTAAGCACCAATTTCTAAGAAATGTCTTACTCATCTCCCTTCTATAACATCACCAAAGTTTAATACAAATAATATTTACATACTTGCTTGTTTGTTTATATTCATAGATGTATATACAATATATTGAAACAGTCCTAGATAGAAAGAGGCATATGAAGGATGAAATGTCAAACAATTTATCTTAGGTATACCTTACTGTTGGGACCATATTACAAATTAATATCACCATCCCCAGTTGGAGGAACATACAAATAATGACAACCTAATTATAATTCATTCACTTCAAATGTTTGTGCCAAAGATATTTTTAAACCAAGTCATTTGTGCTGGTGTCTGGAACTTTTATCATAAACTCACACAAGATTTTCCTTTCTATGTTTTTGAGGATAGGGGGGTGTACAGTACCTCATTGAGGTAATGAGTAAGAGCTGAATGAATATCATTATAACCGAAGAACAGAAGGTGCAACCACTCTGTGTAAAAGCCCATATCACTTACAATGTGTTTCTACTGATAATTCAAATGGTTTCTATCATTGGTAAATGGATTGATCACCAAAATAAGGACTAAAAACTGTTCCATAAGAAATACTTAGCCTGCTGGACAAGAATTTATTCAATGCACACAAAAGAATTCTTTCTTTTTTAAGTGTGTGAAAGAACTTGTTCCGAGAATCGATTTTTTACCAGTAGAAACACACCCATAGATTTTGAACAAGATTTAAAACAGATCAAGATATATCTCAGTGGTTGCTATTGAAAAGAATTACTTAACAAATAAAGACTTAAAATGAAGCATAATACAATGATACCATGTGTTTAAAACAAACTTTAAACGTTGGGTGGGTCTGTACATCTACTATCATCTAAGGTGGGTTAAAGGTCAATTTAGATCCTCATCAATTGCAGTAAATCCCCTTCTTTCCTCCTCCCAATGTAGAGGAACCATCTATTAATATTTTCATGGATGTTCATACAATTTGGTTGTTTTTTTTTCAAAGGGATTATTTCAACATCATAGTTACAATCAATATTTCTACTAACACAATTGGAATAAATTTAAACTCTACTATACTTTTTATTACTATAGTATAAATCCTACATCTTTTTTTCTGGAATGATACCGATTCAGATTATGATAGCTATAAGTACCTAAGTATCATTGCCATAGCAACCGGGCATGTGTACACAGTACCGTAGAGGCAGCAACCAACATATCGCTCACTGCACGTAGGAGGATATGTTGGGGTTCAGCAATGTATAGAAAATAACTTTAGAGTGCTCCCAATGAAACAACATTGTATTTACATTCAAAAGCGACTGAAGAAATACCATTTGTTAGTCTGCATCACAGCTCAAAACCAATCCACATTTAGTAAATCAAATAATCACTAAAACTGAGCCGTTTATCTTGGATATATCAGTTAAGAGTCTGCATTTATTATGTTAAAACACTTTTTCCATGACAACATTTCTTCTAATGTTTAAACCATTTATTGCTGCTATCTTATGAAGGGCGTTCACACTAAGTATACTCTGAGCCTTGGCTTAACTGCAGGAGGCTGGTTCACACTAGGTCTATTCTGGGCTGGTCTTGTGGTCACAAACTATTGGTTATTTCACCTTGGCTGATTTGCTTGCACCACTTCTGAAAGACAAAAGCAACATGAGATGAAATTTACATTATTGCTTTTAATTGACACATCATCATAATTTAATAGAGGGCGGTATAACAATAATTCTGGCTCAATCGATTCAATTTATGAATTACATTAAAATTTGCTATTAATATAAATTCTTAAGAAATACGTAAAAACATGGGAGGCCAATGAGCTTAATCTCAAAAAGAAGCCCCTCTTTAGTTTGCAAAAGTAACATATTAATTTGTTTGGGCTGTTTTGACCATTTAACAGAACATTTTTAGTATTGCGTACATGTAAAAAAGACACAAATGAACAGATTAAGCGCGCTGCACAGCACAGTTTGGGCAATTTTATTATATGAAAAGGGTATATGTATATAAAATGTATGTTTCTAAACCATGAATCATTAGTGAAACAATATTTAATTTAAGATACATTCCAAATTTATGCACAACACTGTAGAAATAAGATATGTCCAATATTAAGCATATTCACTTAATGGATTTTAACAAGTTGTTGATACAGCACAGGTACCATATTTTCTTCAGTTTGGGAAAATGGAACACGCCAATTCCCAGGGCTGGCTGTGAGCCCGGGGCAGTTTTTCTTCTTGAAAGCCTTTGATTGAATTAAAAAATGACTTTTATTCAATCAGATTAATTTTTATGTAACTGATCACAAGAAAATTTGCTTTCTGTTGCCATTTCAACCTAAGCGATCGGATTAGTGTAGGCAAAGTTATGATGTTGTAAAAGAAACGACTTCTCATAAGCCAGCTCAAATCCCACGGAAAACACACTAACATCGCCTATATTAATTCAAACCAAAAATGACGGGGCTAAATATTTGCAAAAAAAAACAACTCTCAAACTCTCAACCATCTGGCCGGGGTTTCAAAACCCTCACTTAAAGATGCTTGTGTCCTGAAGCAAAGTACTTCATCAAGGGCGGATCCTGAAATTATACGGACTTCATAATCTTAATGGTTTAGAATAGGCTTTCTGGAATAGAAATTTTAAAACCTAATAATTTACCATCAAAATGTACTAAAAACACAAAAGCTTGCATTATATTAGTTACTGAACACACATTCAATCATCAATTAAAATTTACAAAGAAAAACTAAGATACAACATCTTAATAATTACATTAGAAATTGGGATCAATGGTTTGTCAGTGGAGAAAATGGCGTCCGGTTAAAACGTGGTATCGTGATATAACACTGTAGTAATCTATGTAGTGGTAAGGTAAAGAGACATGTTGGCAAGCCTTCAGAAAACTTTACACAGTCCAAGGTTTTAGAATTATATTTTTATATATTTTACTGTGCAGGTGGAATTTTGCTTTTGAATAAAAATGAAACTATAAGAAATGCGACTTACTGTTGGACTCTGTGGACGACTCTCTCCACAAGTTTGTCACATATACCAGGACTGGATTCCTCCGCTAGGTCAAATGCATTACCTAACTCTTGAATTGCTGCTGATCCTTCTCGTGTTCCTGACAACTAAAATATTAAAAAATATTTAAATAATCACTTTAATAAAAAAAACCAATACGGAATATATAAAATAATTGTGTCAATGTACTGGTAAGAGACATGTTTAATAGAATTTTAATTGATTGAATTTTAATTTATTGTCAAAAATACAGATAGAAGTTTAATGAAAATAGCGAACGAAGTTTAACAAACATAGAAAATACATACAAAAAATGTTATAGTTAAATTGCAGTGGTAACAGCATGGATAGGGGTGTAGGCCAGTTTTTCGGCTTAGGGAGGTTGGGG